AAGTAAAATTGTGGGAAATGATACAGTTTGATGAAGTATATCCTATATTTAATGGGAAAGAGCTGTGTTTACAGCTTGTTACTGTCTGTGTTGGTTGATTTTTCCTCATACACCAGCAAAGCCCAGGCTTATGGAAGTTCTGGGCAACTTGGCATCTGCAGTTTATTTTTACAAAACCTGAGCTGATGAGCTTTCTGCTGACAGGCAATATCTCTCTAAGAGTGAAATGTTCTGATCCAAATATCAATGGAGAGAGCTGTACAGTAAAGGTCTTTGGAAGTGAACATTCCTTTAATAGATATCCTGACTATTTTCAATTAATCTAAACAGAGACAGTAGAGTGACATAGATGGTCGTCAGTAAAGGACCATTATTTCCATGGAAGCAGAGTGTTGGTAGGGCATTCCTGCTTTGGGGAGAATCCCTTCAGTTTGTGCTATCAGACAGACAAAATTCAGATGTGATGATTTGAGAAGGTCCCAAAAACCAAAATTCTTGTGTGTGCTTTCCTCCAAAGTATCTTTGGTCTCCACAGGTAAGAGCTTCAGAAGTAAATATTACCCATAAAAATCCATTTATAGTCCTCTTTAATGGGCTTTTTTTTTTGTCAGCTTTGCTATGTTATTATGAAAGGATTAGTGAACATTATCACAACAGAACATAATGAATTAATGTTTTGCAGCCCAAGGGATACTAAAGATCTGTCATTATTTGCAGTAGGCACACAGCAGTGTTGAGGCTGACATGTATAGCTTGATTTAATGCTTACAAAGCCTGGAAGTTAGAACTTAGCTGAAGGTTCCTGCTTCCATTGGCAGAATCCAGAAATTATAAAACAGGTTCTGTTCATGACTGAATAATTCTTATTATTGAATGGAAAGTACATAAAATATTTACTAGCTTGAAGCATAGACCCCATAATAGATGTTTTTCTTCAGGGAACATAAGGAATACTGCATTTGATGTTACTACATATGGTGAATTGAGAAATTCAGATTTTGTCTCTAGCTCAGCCCAGCTGGCAGATGTTTGCTCCCCTTCCCTTAGCCCTGCCTGGCGTGTGCTGGCTGCTGGAAGGCCAGAGTGTGTTTCTGATTCCCTGTGCTCCAGGCAGGGGCTGTGGCTTCCCCATGGCACTGGGAGGCAGATGCTGTCAATAACCTTTGCAGGGCTGAGGATCAGCTTGGTCCCACTGCCCCTCTGTCACAGACTGTACTCATGGGAAGGGGAAGGACTCCAGAGTGTGATCTACATCAAAGGACACATTCCAGTCCAGCCTGGACCTGGATTTGTCCTGAAGAGCAAGGGAGGAAGAATGCCCACAGTGGTGGTGCCCAGTGAGCAGGAAGCAGGCAGGGAGGTCAGCTTGATTTGGCTGATGTTCATACAGTAGTGCCTGGGGAGGAATTTAAAGCATCTCCTGGAAGCTGCATCTCCTTATTTCAGGACTTTTTCAGCAAGATGGAGGTTTACTGCTTTGCCAGATCCTCACTCCTCAGTCCCCAGTAACTGGCAGGTGAGTGATTTCATGGATTTCCCTCCTCTTGGAACAGTCCCTATCTTGGTTAGGACTCAGCACTGAACGTGCCTCATTTTTGCTTTCAAAGCAGCGTCAGGATAAAGTTCCTCAGCACTGTTCCTTCAGATCTCACCTGCACAGAGCTGCCTTGGAGATGTCCTGCACTGTCCACACAGACAGTGAGCCACCAGCAGCACTTTTTCTCCTAATCACCATGAACTCCCTAAAAACGTGATCTTTTCCTTAGTTTCTTGTGGCACACTCAGGACTCTGAGCCCCTCCTGACCTGTGCACACAGCCCTGAACACAACGGAATCCCAGTGACTCTGTAAGGCTGCACTTCAATTACAATAGAAAGAATAATGTTAATTTATTTTCTTGATGCTTTTGAATGGGATTTGCTGAAAAATAAAGGAAATATGGGATATGGATCATGTTACCATAAAACCACATGCAGTGAAACATTCATCTGTCTCCAGCATTTCATGTCTTCTGGGCATCTGAGAGAGCTGAGTTTGATTTACACAATCAAGCTATTCATTAAATATCTGTTTGAGTTTGGGGCAGATGCATCCTTTACCTGAGTGATGAAATCTGACCACAGGAAATTGAGCTATTCCTTTGTGAAAAGATCCCATTCTGCTTTATAAAGTGAGCCTTGCAGCAATACACTTCCAGAAAACTGCCAAGCTTTGTGTACCAAATACCGTTGTAAGGGCTCAGCAATAAAACAGTTATGAACTTGGGGGGGATCCAAGCACACAATAGCACATCTTTATGCAATATTTCCTCTTTCAACATCCCCCTCCAACACTGTAATTCACTGACAACCATCGGTTCATTTGAATTCCAAAATTCTAGCCCCAAACACTAAGCAGTTTATAGTCTGAATTCCTGTGTGGGCATATTAATTACTTAAATCACTAGTCCAAATCCCATTCCAAAGATCTCTTGCTGGGAGTCCTTCAGGAGCAGACTGATCTATTATTGCTTACTGGATTGTACTGTGTGTCAGAGGCATCTCAGTATTTCTATCAACAGCCCTCTGGATATCTGGCTCTTGTGAGAGCACTGAGTGGTTGTGAATGAAGGGAAAAGCACCAATATACAGTTGGAGAATATATCTGAAACGATCAGTGAAATTATACCCTCCCTCCTAGGGATTGGCTTGGAAGGTTCTTAGCCAGTTTTAGAAAAATCAAGTATCCCCAGGCAGATGGGAGAGGCTGTAAAACCTCCTGCTGTGTTGAGTGAGGCTCCTTATCTCCAATACCACCTTGCAGATAAAGACAGGGAAGAATCCTGCTGGTTTTGGGATACACAAATTCCCACTGTCTTTGCTGAGAGGAGCGACAGCTCAGGTTTGTCTTGCACATGTATTGTTGTGTATTTTAGCTTTTGTGTTGTCATACAAATAAAACCATGAAGTTTTGCTCCGTTTTGCCTTTTTGGGCCCAATTTCCCCATTACACAGCAGCAGAAAAACAGGATAACCTTCTCCTTATGGGACAGCCAACAAAGGGAATGCACACAGCACTTGTAACACTTGATATTTACTTATAACCTCCATATTTTATTCATGAATTTTACAATTCCAAATATAATGAAACAGTTAGAGTATTTTATTACAAAGCTTATAAAATAATTAAATATTACACTTATAGTTTTTGCTTTTTTTACACCATAATTCATACTTTGTGACACTACCATTTTTCTTTCCTCAGTTCTCACTTAGGGAAGTGAGCAAAGAAATATAAAGGAAAAGCTATGCATTAATAAATTAATTATTTTACATCAAATAATAAAAAGGACACAATTATAAAAACAAAACAAAAACAACCTTTTAGTTTTCCTAGAAAAAAGGTTATAATTACACAATGTCCAATATCAAGACAGAGCAGTGTAGGTTGAGATATGTTTCCAATCATTTCCTAAAGTAACACAGAATACATGTTTTTAATTTAAATTGTTTCAGAAGGAACTGCTAATTTTAAGTGACCACTGTCTGGCATTAGTGCTGAGCTGGCTAATCCTACACTGAAACCATACTTTAAAAAAACACTCAAACTGAACTACATTCATCAAAAAAAGTTGTGGGATTGGGTGGAATTAGATAAATATGTCCCTCATAGGCACTCCCCAGAAAATTACAGTAGGACACAGCTCTGTCTCGGAATGGGTTTGGCAAATAGGTTGGGGTTTTTTCAATGCAGAAACCTTCTGAATGGCACCATTTGATACATGGTGCCATCAAACATCTCGATACTGAACGGCCACAAATATCAGCATTTTTACAATTCTTTAGTTTGCTGGTAGATTCTGAATTAAATACAAGTATTAGGAGGGTGTATAAAAATAGAATTGACTTTTATTTGGTAAGAGTGAATAATCCACTTATCTTTTCATGCTTTTTTTTTTTGTGTAACGTGAATAAATAACTGTTTAGAGAAGTTCAGCATGAATTAATGGACTGCAGTATTCTTGTTATTTGCTTTGGGTAATGGATGAATCAAAATTTGCAGAGAGATTTGAGATTAGAAGGAAGACATTCTTCAGTATCTTGGCATTCAAACAATCTAGCTTCTGAAACAAAACTACTTTAAAATATCAAGTTTAAAATTTAAAATTACATATCTAATGAGCTTAGAAAGTTGAAAACATAACCATTGAGCTCAATCAATCTGAGTTCCTTGAGTTAGTTGAAATATGCAATTCTATTTTACTTGTAACACAGCAACATTAAAAGTCCAAATATTCTACTGCTGCATATTTCTAGGAATACATTTCAAGTTACTAGTTACACCTCTGAGTTTCTACACCAAGCAGAAAATGAATTCTTCAAAAATTATAAAAAACATTAGCATGATGCACAACTTGCTTTTCCAGCAGCAAGTCTGGTAGAGAAGCACCATAATATCTTTGTAGTGCACTATTTACTTCTGGTGGCCACACGTGTGACACTGCCTTCTCCAGCCCTCAGCCATGGATGTCCCTCCAGGGCAGCAAACAGCTTCCTCACCCTGGGACAACAGTCACAAAAAATAGCAAAGGACACGCTTCTGATGGTGTGCTCTGTCCTGCTGCCACGCTGCTTCCTCCTCCAGCTGCCAAGCTCTCCTGCTTTGCATTCTGGTAAATCAGCCAGAAAAGGCTCCCTTGCCTTAATTTCTTCCTTGTAATATGTGACAGTGCAAAATGACACTTTGAAAGAAAGAAGAACTTCCCCTTGAGTCTCAGTGTTCAAGTGATCCATAGTACCCTGTGCTTTAGTGAGGTCAGCAAATTAAGAAAAAATAAGAAAGAAACATTCCTTTTTCAACATAAATCCAACAATTACTGTACCTCAGACATTCCCTCAGAAAAAATGTCTCTCCCATCAGTGGTTTATGTGGCACCATGTCTTGCCTCAAAGCAGAGATAAATCCAACATAACTTGAAGAAGAGAATCCTGTCACTGAAGGGTTCAGATAACACGCTGCTATCAGTTCTTCTTCGTACATGATTTACAACATTGCTTGCCATAAAATTTGTGGTTACAGACACCGTGCTGGGGCACCAGATGACACCAAGTGAAGAAATCCACACAAGAAGGATCATCTGAAGGAGAGAAACCCAAGCAATGTGGTAAGACTGTGTTTTAGCAAGTCTGCAAGTCAGGCAATAGTCCCACACCCTTGTATGCCTTTGATAATATTAAAAACATGATGGGTGACTTGATTGAAAGGAGAAGAAACATGAATGAGCTTTCATTTCAAAAATACTAGTTCTTGCTTTATTTTAAGAGCCATTAAATTTTTGCCAAGAGATTTGTTAACTTGATCAAGATAGAACAAATATTATAGGGGGGACAAAAGCTGAAGGAATTAAAAAATTTAGATCACACTTCGTAGCTCAGGAAGACAGGAGGAAGTTCCACATTAGAGGATAAAAAAAGCCATCTGTGTTTACATCTCTGATTACAGTTGCTCCAAACCCAGGTACTCATACAAATGAGCCTACTCCATATTTGGTACCAGTTGCTGGCTGCCATCATCATCATCATCATCATCATCATCATCATCATCATCATCATCATGTGGGAGTTCACTTGCACACAAACCTCATGGAACTCAGAATGCCTAGGCCCTGCACAAAGTGCTCTGCTCTGTGCTTGTATTCCTGCACTTTCTGGAGACACTTCTTTCTCTCCCTTTTACTCTGCAGGGAACCTCAGAAATCTCTTTTCTCAGACACTTCAGTTAGGTGTCATGGTTTAGCTTTTAGGGTCTTGACTATGCCATGTTGGCAAAATCTTAATTAACTGCAATGGGAGAAGAGACTTGTTAACCATGGTTTAGTTCTCAAAAGCCCAGCTTTTCTTTACAAATACAGCCAAATTATAGTTTTCAATTAAAATCCTGTTACTCTTCGATTTATGTACAGATATCATTTATACACACAGCTCCATGGCTTTAAAAACACCTCGTAGCTGCTTCTCTCTTGCTTTGCAGTGGATGCTTTATGTTTCTTTAAAAGAGGAGAGTGATTATTCATATGGGTGATTTATAAACAAATTCACCATGTCTGAGAGAGCAGTAAGACTCAATGGGGTTTAGCAAAATTTATAGCTAAACTGAAATCTCCTGCGAGCATGGGTAAAGATTTTGTTCAGCTCTCAGAACTACTGTTTACATGGTCAATAAAAGGAATTTACAAGGAGACTGAACAAAAATCTAGCCACCACTGTCTGCATTCTTAGATCAGTTACTGAGTCAGTAGATAAATGCTCCCTCACAGAGCACAGACACTTCTGCGTGTTCCATGGGCCAGGAGGCATCTCCATCTCTCTATAGCAACTTCTTTGGTTTAATCACCACTGCTCTTTTTTTATTTCCTTTTATATGATGGCAAACCTTTATCACCCTACCTTTATCACCCTAAAATTTATTTGAGTGAAAAAGAAAATAATTTAATAGTAATAGTTCTTTTAAAATGCCATTTTTCCTCAGGTTTAAAAAACATTAGCTCGTCTCTTTAAACTCTAATGGTAGGGAAGAAAAATACTGTTCTTGAACAGGAACTGGGGAGCTCAGGACTGAACTGCAGCCTTCCCACTCCACTGCGCTGCCTTTCTGTTCTGCATGGAGTGTCAGGAGGGATCCAGCTGGGAGTTCAGCACCAGACTTCCCATTCCTTCACCTGCTGCCACCAGACAGAATTTGGGAGGGCCCAAAGCACACAAGAGATGAAAAGTGCACACCACACCAAGGAAGGAAAGCTGTTCTGATGAAGACAGGAAGGAGCTCTCCTGCCATGAAAGGGTGAATTAAAAAAAAAATTAGAAATTACTGTTTAAGAAAAAAGTATAAGCACTAAGGAAGCCACGTTAATAAATCTTAAGTGTCCCCTTTGAAGATCAGAGGGCAATGCTAATATTGCAGAGGTATGGCTGAAATTGGGACCTAATCCAAGGACTATTGGAAGGAATACAAAGAGTCCCACAGAATTCAGTGGGTGGGGATCAGGCAGTCAGGTCCTTATTTCTATTTACCCAAGTATTTATAAGTTGTTTAGATTTTCATTCATTTGAAGCAGCTGGATTTACTTTGAGTTACGGTGACCGTAACTGCATCTAGAGAGGGATGGAAATGACCCAGTTTGTCTAGGAAAGTGTGCAAACTCTCCCTGAAACATTAATTTCTTGCCTGTGATCACTGAGCTGGAGCTGCGTGGCTGATAATAGAGACTGATTTGCTTCAATGTGATTCCAGCCCAGCTGGTTTCCTCTCTTTTTGCTGCTTTAGACAGAAAGTTAGAGAGCAGCAAGGAGATAATTGATCTCTAGAGCCTGAAGGCCCAGGTATAATAAAGGGGAAAGGGCTCCTGCAGATGTGACGAGAGAGAGAAGCAGGCCAAGGCCAAAATTAATTACAGACAGTACTTCAGACATGAAATATAGCAGGGGAAAACAGAGGTGAAAGAAAAGTCCTTGCTATATCCTAACAGAAAAGGAAGTTATACAGAAACTCTGAAGTACAACAGAACCTTTTAGGAATGTTAATTTGAAGTGTTAGGAACATTTACTGATAAAAACAGCAGAACTATTTAATTATCCCTTTTAGGACCATTTCATCTCCATATTCTTGTTTGGATTCAGGTCCCCTGATAGATGAGTCTGATAGCCTGCATGTCTCAGGCTGATGCAGCAGAAAGGTCTGCTAGGATCTCACTGGGTTTCACAGGGGTTTTGTGCACAGGGAATGCCAGGAATTGGGCAGACAGATGTGGGGGTGGTTGGCTAATGTCAGTTTACAAGATGCAGGGCCAGAGCTTGACCTCTGCTCCCAGCTCCATTACCACCTTCCTCACGCAGTCCAGCCTAGATTTTATAGAGGTTGCTTTCAGCTCCCAGTTTGAAAAAGGTCAATTAATGTGCAGTATTTTGAAAGTCACAGTTTAAAGTGCTATAGCATACCTAGATAAGCAGATTATGTGGGACAAACATGGACCTCCATGAGCATTTTTCATGCAGTTAGGAAAGAGTCACAAACAGTAATCACCCTGTAAGCAAATCTCTGGAAAAGGGTAATGCACCATTCTTTGTCTGTGGTGGTGCTGAGAGAATTCCCCTTCCCTCATTCCATGTGACACAAAACCCCTTGCTCCCCCCTCCCTTCTCACATTGAAGAGGTGGAGAGATAGAGTAGACATGAAAGTGGAGAGAGACCCTAATTTCATGTTCCCTAACTGCCTGTCATGCACTGGTCAGAAGCAGTAAGGACATTCTAGGTAAAGCAATTTTGGAGTCCCAGAAGCTGGGTGGAGTCTGGAAGACTAAAAATATATGGCAAATTCTTATTGTTTAGTTCCAAAGTTGCTATTATTCATCAAAAGCAGTACCAACCAGCATAGAATGCTTGTTTTTTTTGACAAGAGAGCAATAAAGGTGCAGTTCAGAACCAAACAGCATGACTTTTTCACATACTTCTTTTAACATATGCTTTTTTAAAAAAATCTCCAGTACCAGTTGTACTCCCAAGTCTGCTTTAAGAGGGCTCACTTGGTGAAGAAGAGATGCTGTTAATATCAGAGAGTTACTGGAGGTCTGGGATAAAAAACATCTATAAAGGACAGGCCAGATCAGTGGTGTAGAGAAAAGGTGATGTTTGCTGGGTATAGAACTCTAAGCAACAAGCCTGCTACAGCATCTTGAGCTGAGTTTTACCTCTTTTCACGGGGACTGGGCAGAAGTTGGTGTTGCAGGCTCTCAGGACAGCTGGTTTCTGCTGGGGCAGGCAGCCAGCAGCTGGCCTGCCCTGGCGCAGGCACTGCACGCTCCGCGTCTGCACTCCCCCGCCGCAGGTCACCGTGCACTGAGCAGAGGGAAAACAAAACCTTGGCTTCATTGCACAGACTCTGAGAGCCCTGAAAGCCAAAGGGAGAGCTTTCAAGGGCCTTGGGTGAGACTTCCAAAGCAAGAGAGGTCAGGATCAGGTGTGCTGCTGTCCACCTGTCCAAGCCCCATCAGGACCAACTTTTCAAAGATGTGTGTGTCTTGTGGTTATTTAAGGACTCAGCTGAAAATCTGGTTCCTTACTTAGACATCAAGACAGAAACTGAACATTTTAGAAACCTGTTCCTGATTGTTTGCATGGATTTCTTTTGATCTCTAAGCCTCTGGGCCCAACCCTGCTGCCTGAACACAGATAAAAATCCCATCAGAACCATAATTATGGCGGTATCTGGGGAAAACCACTATGGGTTTGTAGGAAGAGCTATGAAGTATTTTAAAATTAATAAGCCTTTTACTTGTATGTGTTTCATGAAAAGTTGTCTTTAAGATAAATGTGATCATTTTCATCTGATTGCAATTGTCAGGCATACATTGTTTCATGTAAATATTATTAAATGGGTGCGTGTCTCATTGATATATGACTCATAAAGTAGATAAGTTCCAGAAATACAGAAGCTTGTTTGCAAGAATGTAGAAACAAATACAGACTGATCCCACAATTAATCATAGTATTTAGGGAATTCCAGGCAATCTGTGCAGATGCTCAAATACACTGTGCATAGAGATATGCAGTAGTTAAACTACAGTGCACTTTGAAGAAGACTGAGAAGAAAGTGTTGGAAAATGGGTGTGGAATGTAGTGCCTCTCAAGCATGAATAACATTTTTAAGTGACATTCTTCAGTTTCAGGACAAAGCACTGAGCTGCACCAAAGTACATGATGGATGTGGACCAGCTGCATCCCATCTCAGTGGCTGAGTGGTGTGGTCCTCCTCAGGGAATGGCCTCATGCAGGAGGCACCTGGGGCCTGTGAGCACTGGAGGCAGCTCCTCTGTGCCATGCCACCTCTGATTGCCCATTCCTACCTGCTGCCAGGGCGAGGAATACCAGCCAGACACCATGTTATACAATGTCTGTGATGGACAGGCTCCCTTGTTGCAAGCTTCCTCTAGGCTGGTGTTTGGTTTCTTGATGTTCCTGCATCTCCTCTGGGGGAAGGTGACCAATTTCCCGTGGACGCTCTTCTCACCGCATTTGAGTTCTCGCTGCCGCAGGCCGGGCCCACAGGAGGCTGAGCACTGCAGAGGCAAAGCACAGCTTCTACAGCCTCACAAACACAGGCAGATAAAGGGGAACTTGTGATGTGTCAGACACCCCAAACTGTGCACTATAAAAGCATCACAGAACTAATCCCACAAAGCCCATGCTCCGTAAAGGGTAAACTGAAATATGAACCCCAGACAGTGATTAACAAAGACATTGGGGTCCATCCATCTACATCTGGGGTTTACAGCCCCTCACCTAGAATACCTGATTTTCAAACCACAGCTCAGCTGCCTTTCCTCCCCATGGTTTGTTTGTCCCTGAGCCAGTATTGCCAAGAGCAGCCAGGGAAGGCAGTGAGCCATGAATCTGCACCACTTTACCTCACTCCAGGAAGAAATCACCCACTGGAGCCGGTCATTTTTGGGACAGCGTCCGAGCACACAGGTCTGCTGGGACTCAGGCTTAGGCTCTGTGCTGCACATGCTTTCAGGCAAGATTTTCACCTTGGGAGAACCAGGACTCTTGCAGTAGACATCCCGTTTCTTAATACCTCTCCCACAAGTCTTGGAGCACTGTGATGGGAAGAAACACTTCTTTGAACTGGAGGAAATGAAAACTGGCATCATTTGCATTTTCCAGCAGAGCACAGAAAGGATGGCTAATGTGCTGTACAGCTGCCATTGGGATATAAGTAAACCTGAAATTCTATTGGTAAATAAGAAACAGCAACATCTGTGTGTCACTTCTAAAACATTGTCCTAAAAGTGCTTTCTTAAATGTAAGCTGTGAACTCTCTCAGCCCCCATGTAGAACAGACAAGTAATCTCTTTTCCATAGATGAGGTAAGTTGGACTTGTGAGCAAAATGCTTTTGTGAGCAAAATGCTTTTTCCCTGCTCAGCATAGTTGAAAGCTGGTCCTAAGCTCCCACCACAGAATCTTCCATGGCAAGATGCTCTCAGCTATTTGTCATTTTGTCCTCACCTTGGCCTAGAGGGATGAGACCGAGGCAGAGGAAACTGCCCAGGGAATTGATACATAACTCCACCAAAGGAGACAGAATCTGATACAGACAATGCTTAAGGAGATACTTTAGTTGCCAACTGCAGCGCAGGACGAGTCACCAGGATAAATATGCATTGCTGAGCCGTGGTTCAGTGGAACAGACATGCTGTGGTTTGCACTGTCTTTCATACAACAAAATGCCTGAATGAGCCATTTGTGAGGAAATGAAGCAAAGAGCCCTGAAATAATGCTGCCAGCTTCCTACCTTCTTGCATCCTCTTCTAACTGTCCTTTCTACTAATAATTATGGGGCATGTTCCAAGGCAGAATCACTCAGTGAATCAAATTACAAATGTCTTTAAAAGACTTCATGAAAGCACCGTTGTGTTGAGGGTGTAACAAATATCTGCATGCTGAAAATCCGTGGGTTTAATCCTTCCCCCCAAAAAATGATCTTTTCATTTAAAATGACCCTGATTTCTGCAGAGAGCCTGGGTTTAGATTAGATGTTAGGAAGAAATTCCTCCTCTGAGAGTGGGCAGGCCCTGGCACAGGGTGCCCAGAGCAGCTGGGGCTGCCCCTGCATCCCTGGCAGTGCCCAGGGCCAGGCTGGACACTGGGGCTGGAGCAGCCTGGGACAGTGGAAGGTGTCCCTGCCATGGCAGGGGGCAGGACTGGATGAGCTTTAAGGTTCCTTCCAACCTAAACCATTCTATGATTCTATGATTTTACATTTTTTTTTCCTCTCACCACCTTTAAGTCTGTAATATAACAGTTTTCAGCTGAATCTTCAAACCTTTACTAACTTGTGCAATAAGCCTGTTCACTATATTCAGCAGGACTGGTGAACTTAATTTTTATGGCCTTATTTGAGAATTGCAACTTGAATTTTACACCTCTTAAAGAGGAGGAAAACAGATTTTTTTGTAACGGTCTTATTTATTTATTTGTTTATTTATTTATTTATTTGCCTTAGAAGAAAGAAAGTTTGTAAGTGTGAATGTATTTGAAGACCTGGTTTATAAAATCTTCTGCTACACTCAGATTTTCTTCAGACACACTGAAAGAAAAAGTCCTTTTTTGAGAGTTGTGCTGGACTACTGAATAGTTACTCATCTGTTATAGAACATTACAGGGCACTTTGTGTTCAGCTGGGGTGCTGAGGTCAAGATGTTCTTGAACACCTAAAGAGTGACAGCACCAAGAACAAAACACATAAGTAATACATTTTTCAGCTAATTGAAATTCACTTAGCTGATTGAATTTCAATTAGCTGAAAAACGTATTACTTGAATCTCACTAAATGAAGACAGAAAAATAAAATCAACGTAGATCCTTTTATAAGGGTACTGTCAGCTCTCTCTTAAAACCCAGATGTGTGATTTATTTGAAGGATAATTTAATTTATCTTTATATGAACAGCATCAACAGCAGTGAAAGATGGAGCAGAGCTGAGTTTTGTGTGTTTTTAGCTTAGGTGTTTCAGTGTCAAGTGTGTAAAGCAGGGTATGCACAAAGGAATTTGCCCTCATGGCAATAGCTGCAGCAGCACTGCTTGCCGGAGAGTTACTCTAGCAAAGGCATAAGCACAGAAGTGAGTAGTCAATGTATAAATCACAAATTTATCAATCCACAATCCATAGACACAGGTGCATTAATATGCAACTCTAACCCCAAATATTTCTCCATTCCTTGACTGCCTGCCATCTCTAAGAGAAGTCAATACTGCTTGGGAAGTAATCTCATAGACAGTTGTTGGTGATAGAGCCTTAAATTATGATTCCAGAAGGAATTTTCCATCTGTTTGTATGTACCTAAAAGAACACCACATGCCCACTTCTGGCAAGCCCTCATGTGCCAGCTCCTCTGAAGGCTGGTTACAATGCACATTTAGTTTACATACATGGTTTATATATTATCTTCAAGAAAAAAAAACTACATGCAAAACACTGATCTCCACAAAGTTTGCTCTGTTCTTTTGGGGGAGAATTTTTTGCAGTGTTTTCATTATGCCAGCAGACAAAAATGTAAGTTTTTCTCCAAATTACCTGAGACCAGGGGCCAGGGCTCCATTCGGGTGGGCAGTCCTGAGCACTGCACACTTGCACCTGTGCTGGGGTGCTGACAGGGCACAGGGAATGGGCCACCACCTCCTCTCTTTGGAAAGCCCTTTTCTGGACACACTGAATGAGACGACTTTGCTGTCCCCCTCCACAAGACTTGCTGCATGTGCTCCATTCACCTGCTGACCAGCTTAAAGGAGGAAACGTGTGTTAGAAACACAGGAGTGCAATTAGCTGTAGAAAATCAATAAAAACAGCCACCTATCAAATGTGAATTATCCAGGGATCCTGCTCAGCCTGTCTCCTGGTGTACTGGTATCTGTTCAAGCAATCAAAAAGCTGAAGTCACATGATCTATTTTCAAAGCATGGAACTTTCTGCTAGGGATGAAATACAAGTCACTCAACTAGAAAAACAAGTATTGTTTATTATAGCTTTTACCCACTAGAACCAGCTTTCCTATGAATCTGACCTGGAATCCTGAATTCCACAGGGACTGAAAGAGATGCTGCTATTGAGGCAGGTGGAGTCCTTAGAAGATAGAATTAGATAAGGTAGAATTAGATAAGATAGAATTTAGTTGAGTATGTACGACTGTGTTTGTGCTGAGATACACTCCACTCACACAGGGTGACAAATGTTGGCATTTCTGTCAAACCCTACTGGCCCTACAGGTATTCATCAAAAAGAACTTGCTTGTTAAAAGCAGCACTCCTGTCCCTGATGTCCTGAGGAAATGAAAAGGCTCTGAAAGGCTGAGAGAGCTGGGGCTGTTCAGCCTGGAAAAACAGAGGCTCCAGGGTGACTTAAGTGCATCCCTCCAGTACCTGAGGGAAGCCTGGAAGAGAGCTGGAGAGGCACTTTTCACAAGGGAATGCACAAGGAAAAGGGGGAATGGCTTTAAGCTGAAGGAGGGCAGGTTTAGATTTGATACAAGGAAAGGAATTGTTCCCTGGCAGGGTGGGGGAGGCACAGGGTGCCCAGAGCAGCTGGGGCTGCCCCTGCATCCCTGGCAGTGCCCAAGGTTGGACACTGGGGCTGGGAGCAGCCTGGGACAGTGGAAGGTGTCCCTGCCATGGCAGGGGTGGCACTGGATGAGCTTTAAGGTCCCTTCTGACCCAAAGCACACTGTGACTTTATGATTCTCTAACTCAATGCTTTACATATCCTCAGACTAATAAATCTGGCAGACAGTTGATGCAGAATCTAAATAAAACAGAGGCAATTTAACCAGCACAAGCTGTTGGGCAATGTGTGCTCAGGCACGGGGACACTGCAGTTTACACGCCATGTCCCTCAAGTGACACAAAGTCTGAGGAGTTATTGCCAATTGCTTGGGCTAAGTTCAGTTTTGAAATGCCAGGAGCTGCTCACTATTTCTATTCTTGAAGCTCTGAGGGTCCCCAGGCGTTGTGGGACACTTAGCAAACATGCAACCAAGTGTCTTTGTCCTTGAAGGCTTCCAATGAAGGACCATAATCACAGCCAGATAGGAGAACAGAAGTGAAAAAACAGAAGAAAATATGAATGACTAAATTATTACTTACTGAGAACTCTTATTCAAAGACCCAGCACTGAAATTAAACTAAAGATTTTTAAACAGTTTGACAAATTTTTAGTAATTTATGTCATGGAAAAGGTTCTCTTCTCACATCTGACCACTTGGCCGATCCTGCTTCCACAGTTTCTCACAGCATCAATCCTGTGACCACAGGAATAGCTGCTTACATAAAGCTTTAGTGACAAGAAATCTTTCTTCATCCTGTGTGAAAGATGCACAGGGTCCCATTTGCCTGTCTATTCACAGCTGCTTGAAAACAAAGCTAATTTTAATTGTAAAAAATTTATAAAAAGCCAATTTTTGAAAAATGTCTTTGGGAATAGAAGAAATCCCAGCTCTCAGTATCTAGCAACTTCAGAAACTGCCAAAAGTACTGAGAAATGTAAAAGGCACTAATTTAAGGACAAAGAAATATTAATGTGAAAAGTCAGTCATTATGTAATTCCAGAACATGTCAGAAGTTTCCTTTTTGTCTGATTTATAAATATTTGGACCATTCAACTACAGACTTCTGAAAAAAGAGTTTTAATCCATTTTACAACTTCTAATTAGTTTGCCTTGATGTTTCTGACAATGGCCATTGGTGGAGTGACCAAAAGTGTTCATTTTAAGAGTTTATTCACCATAACTGCCCAGAAAGTTCCCCTCTTCACAGAGCAGAGGGCAGTAAACCTACTTTAATGTCCTCTAGTACACTTCCATTTTCCAAGATTATCTGGGCTCTGATCCAAGAGTATCTTTCATTAGTTCAAATAACTAAATAATTATGACCAGATTTGGCAGCTCTGAAATCCAGCAACAGCAGTGTGCAGTGCTGGTGCCTGTCTGTGTGGGACAGTAGTTTGGGCCCTCTCAGACTAATCAGCCTTTGTTCTTATGCAGCAATTATTCCTCACTGGCCTTTACAAGTCTGGAGCCTCTTTTATGTTCCCAAACTGACACACTTGTATCTCATCTGTCACCTCCTTCCCCTGCCTGTTCTGCCTGGTGTATTTGGGTTTGCTTTATTTGCTGGCTGTTAAACATTCTTTTGTTTCCTCCATGGTATTTATTAATCCTATTTTTTTTTTTTCTGTTGGCAGTCTTGGGTTTATGGGAAATATTACATGCTGTGAGTTTCTGGGCAGATTCCTCAGCAGAGATATCCTGGCACAGTTTCACTCAGCTGAATGGCAACCTGTTAATTTAAGGCATGGTCCTACATGTAGATCCTCCATGCATTAATCTATCCTAAGGATTTTAAGAATAATTAATTAGTGAGTTGAACTATTTTTCCCTAGAAGTCCTTGGGGCTTTTACATGGTTTTTGGGTTTTTTTGTATTCCTTTTATGGTTCGACTCATTAATTTTGTTTTAAAGTAGTAAATCATAGAATAGCTGTGATTTCAGTACAAAAACATTGCACTGTGTGTCAAAACGAATATTCAGCATTTTCATGGTAAATATATATCAGAGGATGTTCAAAATATGTCAGGATCTCAGGTAACCAGAAACAGAAATTTTGTGTGTGGTCAATAAAGGTAAATCTGATTTGGGTGGAGCTTTATAGCATAATGATGCCACATCAAAACAAAGGTAAGCAGAAAGAGCTTAGACAGACTCCTGCAGACATCACAGACAATACAGTTCTGTGTTCAGTGGATAAAAATAGTCCTGGCAGAAGATAAGTTGCACATGAAAACATTGTGTTTGGCTACAAAGTTTACTTAAAATTGGTATTGAGAAAATCATGTGGCTAAACGCAATCTAAAGGAACTGCTGAAGCAGTAACATGGGGCTCTCATGTCACAAGGTATCATTATTTAAACCTTATCTCTATCCTTTTGTGGTCATAGTGTGTAATTTGGCATTTGGGTTTGGTGTACTCTGCTGTACTCTTTAAATTTGCAGGAAATTCCAAACTATTACTGAATTATTTTTCAGTATGTTCAACATATTGCAAAGTATGGATTTTTAAGTAAAACCAAAGTCACTACAGAACATATTCATCTTTTTGCTTTGACCCACCATGCTCTCCTAGACTGGGAGGGATGAGGAATGCTTCCTATTAAACATCATAAAATGGGATATTTTATGAACTATGGGAGCAGGCTTAGCCAACTGCTTTTACTGTTGCTTTTATCACCCCAGAGTAAAACCAGCAGATGACGCCAGGTCTGGACCCTTCCTCCACTTCTTCTGCTTCAATGCGCCTTCAAGTGTATTTACTTCCCACTGAGACTGAAACACTCTTAATTTTTTCAACATATTCCTTTAGAAAATCTCCTGTTTTAGAGGCTGAAATGTCCAATCCAACATAATACAGCTCTTCTGATCTTTAATGTAAAATTAAAATAATGCTGAGGTTGCAAATTCAGGAATCCAAAAGAGAAATAACCAGTGGAAGAAAGATGGCCACAGTGTCCTTTAATCTATCCATTTTTATCCTAAGCCACATAATACTGTGTTTAATTATATAAGCACAGAACTTTTTTTTTTCAAAGGACCCCTACTTCAGCTACTATAAATCAGTGTTAACTCCCTTGGTTTTTAAATTGATTTAGACCAGCTGGGTTCTAAGTGCTTATCTATATGTCAATGTCTCCCTTTGCATCTTGCCTTTCTTACATCTTTTAGAAAATAAGATTGCTCACAAAGGTAACGCCTTCATAGATATTTTTGTGGGCACCAGAAGCTTTGCTGACAGCTCATTTGGTTCAGATAGTCCTCTTTGTGGCATCACAATCCTCTGTGGGACATTTTGTCCAAAAAATCACTAATTACACTGCACAAGACTCTTTTAGCCTAATCTAATATGTGGAATGTGAGTCATGGGGCCGAGCTTCCACACAGGGAGTAGCACTTTACTCAGGAAATGGGCTTAGTGATTCAAGATGAGGAAAGGTGGCAGAAGGAGCCCCTGAGAAAGCTGGATTTGCCCTGTGTCACCCCAGCACAGGGACAGAGCCCTCAGGAGCCTTTGCTTTAGGCACCAGACCCAAAACCCCTCTGGGAGCCTTGGGCAGAGCATCCCCAACAATTCCTGGTTCCCAGAGCACCAGGGGTTCATGCAGCAGGCAAACAATTCCCCCTGAGAGGATTCCCTCCGTGGCACAGCCAGGCACAGGCACAGGCAGCAGGCACAAAACCCCAGAGAACTCACTAGGCTGGGCAGGGGTTTGTGTTGCACAGCTTGGTTTCAGTCAAAGGCTTTGTCCTTGGGCCACAAAAGGAGGCGTTGACTCGTGCACGATGATCTTCCAAACAAATTGCTTTTGCTGTAATGTGTCCTGTGGAAGTGTCAGGAAAGAAAACACTGTAATAAACATGTATTTGAAATGTAAGAGAAAAAAGTAGTAGGGAACAATTTTAACTAAACAATCTAAACTCACCCTTGCTACAAATCCGCTGACTTGAACTAAATAAAATATGGGTTTAAGTGGCAACATGTTTTTAGCATTGATTTCCCTCTCTGTAGCACAGATACTACTGAAGTCAGATAAATATTTTAGCTATAAACAAGAGATTTGAAGACTGTTCCCCCAGCAAAAATTAGTAATTATTCAAGTCCTAATTCCCTGCAGACACTAACAGTGCTTGCTTAGAGCCCTCTTCACACACTTGGAAACTGCAAATAAACATTCAGTAAATAATAAATTAACATTCTTTTTACAGTGAATCTCTACAGACTCCAGAGTTCTGCAGGTACCTGTACCTTAGACTCAGTCAAGTGTCAGCAGCAGGACAATTACAGAAATGCCTTAAGTGATTTTACAGATTTATCTTTTAACTGAGATCTATCATTCACCTCACACATGGTTCATTGGGCACAGTGAATCAAATTTGGAAACAAGACTGTTTTCATCATTTTTATATCCATGCTGCAGCCTTTTAAAGAAAAGGAAGAAAATACAGCTGTCATATTTTATGGCTACAGGGCTCCTGGTGGATCTTTCTTCCATAAACCATTTACTGAGATGCTGTGAAGTTCTGACACTGCACCAGCAAGTTATTCCTGAATTTCACCTGAACTTTTTTGCCAATACAGGAGCATTTCCTTCAGTGCCCAGTTGTATCCTTTGGTATTACAGACTTCCCACATGCCAGCTTTTTGCTTTCATAACATCCCAGATATACTTTCACTGACAAAACATGCAGGATTTATAAAAAGAAATAGGTGTCTGTGCAAAAAAAGAGGAAATCAAAGTGCATAATTAATTTCCACATTACTTCAACAGAGAAGATATGACATGCATATGAGTTGACCTAAACAAAAAGGACTGACTCACTGGCATGACTATTTTTTACTCTAAAGGCCATACCAAGATATTTCCTCTGTGTTCTAAGTTATCAGATGAAAAAAATAAGGAGCAGGTGTTCAGTGTAAACCCCTGTATGTTTCAATATATATTTGCAAAATCAAAGGCAGCTGAAAAGCTTTGAGATGCTTAAAAAATGAAAAAGAAGAGGCTTGGCAATGGGAAAGTCACCTACCACCACCACAGGTCGCTGAGCACTCAGACTGCACTGTCACCCAGGAGTAGCTGTGCTTCCTGACAGATGTCTTGTTTTCAATGCTGCTTTTGGCAAGGGTATATTCCCAAGAAATTCCAGGGTTTTTGCCTTGTAACAGGATCTGTAGAGGGATATTTGGGGGTTGTTTTTTTTTTTAAAAAAAAAGGTGGGGAGGAGGTAAAAGAAAGGATTCTGTCAGTCTGAAGGAAGATGAACTAAACAAGATACACACAAAATATACAGACATAAAGCATGCTTGTGAGAGGATTTTCAGGAGACCCAAAGGAAAGACCATCAAAGCAATTCCTAAACAGCAAATCATTGCCTGGAAAAGCACCTGCAGGTCTGAAAGAGAGGGTGCAGAAACAGAATCCCCTCCTGACAATCAGGGGCACCTGACTGGGTCAGAGCAGCAGCACTGCCTCCAGCAGAGGTGGAACACCACCCCCAGAACATCACCCTTGAGCAGGGCTGGACTCTGCCTGGGGCACTGCAGGACATGGGTTTGGCATCTGGGCATGGGAGGCATCTCCTCTCCTCAGTAGGCAAAGCCCTGGCTGATCCTTCCAGCTGTGGGTGAGGGTCCCTGGAGACACAGAGTCCCCAGGCAGACAAAGAAGAGTTGCATTATTGCAAAACCCAGGCCTTTCTCAGTTACACAGCTTTAAATCATAACATACATAGTTCAACCAACAATCATACACCATGATGTGAACACCTAATGGTTATATAACTTGTTTTTCTACGCCTCATTCAGCTGAGTCACTTTCCCACAGTCCTTTCCTACTTAGCTGGCCTGAGCCATGGTTTACAAGGCCTTCTTTTTTATCCCTTTATTTTATCCCTGGATGCAACATCTAGCAAGGAGGAAGCCTTTGCCCACCAAGCAGGACTCAGATGCTTTCCTGGCAGAAGCTTGAGCAAAGCAGCATCTGTGGGGCTGGAGGTTGCTTCCTCAGTTCTTGGGGCTAAGGGTATGAAACACAAGTCCCTTTCTTGTAAAAAAACTCGTTCCATGCAGACTGGTGATAAATTTTGTTGTAAGACCCTCAGCTGAAATTTTTCTCATGGTGATTGAAGCTGATAAAGTTTCAGTTCAGGAGAGAACCTGTCCTTAGGTGTCTACAGAGCAAAAAAGGATAGGAAAAATCCTGTTTTCCAATAGTGAATATTTTATTCACTATTTCAGCATAATGTGTTGGAAAATTTATAGAAAGTGTGATTACTGACTATAATAACAATCTCTGTCATCTAACTCAGGGAGCCCAGCTCTCAAGGGTGTACTATTTTAGTGGTGAATTATATTGCAGTTTTCATTCACTGTATTAATTTCAAGATTGAATTATAATCACTGCAAGATGCACGAACAACTGACACATACCTAAATTTGGGGAGAAATTTCTACTTAACAAAATTTATTTTAGAAACTTTTGGCAGCAAAGTGCATTCATATCCACACTTAGTAGAAACAGTGTGGGAGTTTACAGTTACAGAGCTCTAATGACTTTTAACTCTTCACCAATATGGATCCTGTCACAGTAACATAAAGAGCAGGTGCAGTTAACCTCAGTTCCTAAATTTGCTTTTTCATAAGCATTAGCATTCCAAGTACAATTCAAGTCTATGTTTAATAATTGCCATTCAAAATATTAATAACTTATCAGTGAAGTTTACATAATACCTGACCTGAGAACTTAAGCAATCCATACAAGTACAACTCATCTCTGTAGAGACTGGTTTCATAAAATAGCAACAAACCTGCATTTATGTTAAGACTGAGAAATCTAATAACATTTGGAAATGTAGCCAAGAGTTTTAAGGTGTTCTGCAAATGTACCTATTGGAACACAGAAATTGCCCATGACAGTGAAAATTCAGACCAAATTTACATGACCTGCAGCTCAATAATGTTGAACACATGAAGGATCTGGACTGCACAGTGTTTACTTTTCTAGAAGAAAGAAAAAATGAATGCTATAATTTCTATTCTTAGTAGGCAAAGATTTTATTTCAGTCAAGGAACCTCAATAATGATCCAAACTGAGAAAACAGCAATTAGGGCTGCAAAAGGCAAACACTTCCAAGTGAATTGAAGAGTATGTGCCTTCTCCTGGGAGGATTCATATTAGAAACTCCTTCAAGCACAGGTAAATCCAGTATTTCATGTGAATTTTTCAGCCATCCAAGCTTAATTCATGAGCACCTTAAAATAACAGTGAGGTTATGGAAGAAATAGATATAAGAGTGATCACTGACCTCTCTTTTAAATGAAAATTCTTGGTAGAAATAGGATTACCAGATCTGCTTTAGAGATGAGTTATAGATGCAAATATATATCACAGCTATTTTACAAGAACAGGATTAAAATGGAATACTCTGGAATTAGGAAACATGAGAACTGAGACTGCTGTGCAACTCCTCTCTGCCCTGCACAGATGCACCCCTGACCTCAGGATCTCTTTCTGGCACCCCAGAACACCTCCACAGGGCCCAGCACATGGGGCTCACGAAGGAGCAGCTCACAAAGCCTCTGTATTTCACTCCAGGCTCCTTCCCCAGGGTGTGTTTCTGCACCCCAGCTGCTCTACTCTATTCAAACCATTCCCAGTGTCACTTTTTTGGGGACTTTTCTTTTCCCCTTGGTTATTCATCATTATCTGATGTAAATGTGATAAGATTTAGCAGCCCCTTCAGATGAAGGGGCACATCTCTTCTGAAAAATACTATAGGACGTATAATGTTTGACCGAGTTTTCATCAGGAACACAAAACTATTGCAGAGCTGCAATTTTGCCAAAGTAACGTTTTTATTTTCACAAATCTATCAGACTGCTGACAGCGAAAAGTCCAGCTGTTAAAACAGCTGCTCTAGAGTTTGAATATTGAACTCTAAGTCCACTGGTGTTACAGATAAAACAGGTTGCAACAATGTGCTCACTCCTCTCAAGGACAAATTGAGACAAATATCTGAAGCATAAAGCTTCAGAACATGTGCTTCAGAAAAATATGCAGTGTGTTAACTGTAGTAAGAACTGAGCCCTCTAACACTATTCTTCATTTAAAACAATGCCTTCCTTGCTTCTTCTTACAGGCCAGACCTCAAAATATTTTAATTTACATTTACTCATCCTCCAAGTCTAAGGTATTAGCACAGATCTCGGCATCTTAGGCAGCCAGAAACACTTTCTCCCATTTCAGTGGGTGCTCTGTGTTCCTTCAAGAGCAGAGGCTGAAATTCTGTCTGGCCTTTTAATAAGTTCTGTCAAAGGAGGAGGAGGTTTTGTCCATACCACAAAACCTCGTGTAAGGGTTAGTCCTCATCTCATTTGACTCTGACAACTGTCATAAAACTGTGCTGTGCCAGTGGCCAAAAAGCAGCAAAGTTTAAAACTTTTCTAATAAAAATATCTTGAAGTATTAGACTGAACATTTGTCTTCTGAAAGTGCTCTTTGTGACACTGGAGGCAAGGAACAGATGGAATGCATTCTGAACACATAGTTCAGAGCAGGAAAGGGGGAGGATGAGAAGGTAAGAGTGGCAGTTTTACTCCTGTTAGAGCAATACTCTGCTGGTGCTTTAGCAGAGTGAAGGGGATGGTCTGGGACAAGTGGGAACAAGCCCCATGAGAATCCTTCCCTTCAGAGAGCAGGCAATGGTGCAAGGAGCTCACAGCTGGGTGGGTGCCTGGGGGGCAAATCCTTCACACCAGGCAAGCTGGGCCATACACATTTTAAAACCTTGGGCCACAGCCCCTCCTTGCGCGCTGGGAAGTTGCCACAATTCTAACAGGAGGCAGGAGAAGGGAACTTCCTCTCCATTTCCTGGCCAGAAGTCGAAGCCAGAGCCCCTTCCCACCCAGCAGGCAACAAGAGGGAATGTTTACCAAGCAGGAGCAGCATCACTGTCTCTCCTCCTGAATCATCCCAGCCATGCAGAAAAAGGGCAAAATCAAACTATGAAGCAGTACTGGAGACAAAAATATTGCAGGGCACAAAAAACATATGAAGTCCCTGGTGCTCAGCTGAAAAATAGTAGATGGTGTTTAATGTCTGACTGAGTTTTCATCAGGAATGCAATACTATTGCAAAGTTGCAATTTTGCCAAAGTAACGAGCATATAAAAAGTTTTCTATCGTATTTTCAAACATTCATTATAAAGCCCCTTCTTAACAACCCAATAACTGAAGTCTGCATATTCAGCCAAGTTATCAGACCTACAAATTTGGAAAGACCTCCAGCGCTAGTCTACTTAACTGGACCCATTCCAGCATCTTTTCAGCCAACTGGCATTTGCTCCCAAATTTACAGCTGGCAAACAACCTCCTTAAACATTTCCAGTTCCTCAACAGAACTGTTTAATGTCTACCTTTAACACACCAACCACCTGACTTCAGACACAGCACTCAGCAGCTCTGACCGCAGGGCGCAGAGTTATAAAATTTACAGCTTCTTGAGCTGGAAAACCACAGCTCTGTGGCTGGAATCTGCTGGATCTATTCCGAAGGAAAGGAGCTGTGCCTTTAGCTTACGGCACAAAATGTTAAAACAATGGATAAATTGAACTCTCCTGAGAAAAGAACCTTTTCCTTTTGCTGCTAATTTTGAATAAATTCTCTACATTAGCTGTGCATCTGCTCCTTTGTTTGAGATTTTTTTTTTTCTCACGGCCATCCTTAGTTTCCAATATAATATTCTATTTTGCAGGTCAGATTTTTAAAGAGTCTACTAACATTGCTTTGCTATGATTGACTTGGCGCTTTCCAGTAGTTTTTTATTGTAAGATGTGCATATGAAGTTACTTGCAGCACACTGAATTAAGAGAGATTAATTGATACAAGCAAAGTTCCTATTCCTTCCACGATGTTTTGTTCCATGTATAGGAAAGAATATTAATGCCTGGCTTGTAGCATGCTGAAAAAATCTCTCTTATCTCTATGGAGGACTAACAGACATTTACAAATCACTTACAGAGAGAAGCTGAGCACAGAGGAAAATAATGCAGGTAAAAAGAACTATTTTCATCTGCATGTGCCCAGTTCACAAAATGGGCAAGAGCCCAAACTCTGAATCCCAGCATCCACAGTGTCTTTGATCTGCATCCTCAAGCTGCACCTACATTACA